TGGCCCATATAATGGCAAGTTATGATTGGTTCATTCCGAGCAATCTGACTGGCTGTTGGCGGGCCGCGCCAAGGTTCAAACACTATCCATTGGTTATCCGGATAGCAGCTTACTCTATAAAAGAGTGACTGCTAGCCGGGGGTTTTTGTCTCTGTTATGCTCATGAATAAAGAGCTGAAGTTCACAGTTTACAGTCTGGTCTCCGTTCATTAACCCATGCCTCAAACTTAACACTGATCTCAGGTGCTTTTGAAAATAGTTTCACCCCCTCTTCTTTGTAGCCACCCCTGAGATATTGGAACACTGCTATCATATCTCCCCTGGTCCTTCTTTTCATTAACTAGACATACCCAATTCCAGAAAGCATTCTTTGTATGTTTTAGCCTCCAGTTCCTTAATCACCTTTGTTGCTCTTCTCTGCACTCTTTCTAGAGTCACGTCTTTTTTACATCGTGGCAACCAAAACTGGATGCAGGATTCCAAGTGTGGTTATATGAATCATTTGTCAAGCAATTCATGTGAATGACTGGGAATGCTGCAACAGTCATAAGTGTGGAAAAGTGTCATGAGTCACTTTTTTTAGTGGCATTGTAACTTCAAACGGTGATTAAATGAATGGTTGCAAGTTGAGGCCTATCTGTGTACTCAGCTGTTACAAAAATATCAAGAGCAGAAGCATCCCTTCATCCTTGAGAAATGAGACTTGGTCTGATTCCTCCTTGACGAAATGGGGCATTAGAGAGAAAAGGTAAAACACCAACAGTCTTGTAAGATTCTTTTACTATAATAAAAAGTATTTTTCATGTGCCTATGGAATCCGTTTTCTGATCTGGTCTACCTTATAGGTCTGACAAACATACATGGCATCTGCTGTGAAATTTCTACTTTCCTTCAAAGTACTTACAAAGTAGGGCTAGTAGTAGGTAGATAATAGCATTACCATAATAAATTGATACTATAGATTCGCAGGTTGGAATCAATAGTAAAAGCAATTTTATTATTGGAATTTTATTTTAACACTCATAGGAATAAAGCAAACTGAATATTATTTTATGGCCAAAATGACATCAAAGACATATCCTTTTTTGAACTGAACATCTTTAAAGCCAGCTGTGTTGAAGAGCGTACGATGCTCCGATGCTTTCCGTGTTTTTCCTTCAGAGTAAAGCAACATTACAATGCAGTACAAATGAGCAGGAAGAGACTCCGATATGTCTTCATCAACAGTTGGTTCCACCAGTAAAACTCCACCACATGTTGCATAAGTAATTTGGTTAATTCAGGAACAAGTTGCCTAGAAAAGGAGTGGTTTTCTTACCACCTCCTTTTCTTTGCTGAGACTGTGACTTTTCTCTCACAACTTTGCCCCTCTTCTAATAATATTGTTTTGGACTCTTTTTTCCTAGGCTAAGGCCATGGTCTATTTTAGCCCCTTTGTGTCCCAAAAGTTATTGTAATATTATGCCAAGCTGCGGCTCCTTCAGCATTGTCTGTCTCCTAACACAGTGGCCCCCAACCTTTTTTGTACCACAGCCCGGTACCGGCATCACAAAATGATCCACGGACTGGTACCGGCATCAGCACGCATGACCAAGGCAAGGCGAGCCGAGCGACCGGCCAGCCAGCCGTCCCCCGCTTCTCCCCGCCACCTTCAACTCCTCCTTTGTACCTTTGTCGATGGGCTTTTCGGGCTCTTTCTTAATCTCCTCCTGAGTAACACGAGACTCCACCGCCATCGGGACGGCTCTTTGTTCGAAGCCGCCGCCCCCTTCGACGAAACTAAGGTGCGAGGATTCCTTCAGCACCCAAACGCCACTTTCCGACCGACAAGCTCACCCGGAAGCACTTTCTCAAGCGCCGTCGAAACAAGATGGCGGTGCCCAAGCAAAATAGGTGGCCCGGTATAAAATGATCCACGGACCGGTCCCGGTCCGGGGCCCGGTGGTTGGGGACCACTGTCCTAACACATACTATTTTAGCCCACTTAATTCAGGACTGCTTCTGGCACTCTGCCTATACTTCATGATTGAGCCATCATGGAAATTTTAAGCAATCTTTTCCCAACTGGACTTTGCTTATATTCAATGATAAATGGCCTCTCACTACCTTAAAAGGGTAAGAAACAAATAGGTTTCATAATCTATATGGGATTTAGGCACCTATGGGAGGGAGTGGTTTCCACAGTATACTGATTCATGATTCAGTATGGTTAGAGAATGTGATCCAAAATGTAATTATAAAATTTCTTCTCAGAGTTCAGATTTAATAGCTAAGAAATATTGTTTGTGCTTTAAAATGTCAAGTTTGCCTCCAGGAGATTATAAGTTTAGAAAAGTGTTATAGCACGTATTTTATGTGCAAATGGATCAATTTCTAATTTATTAGGTAGAAAACTTCCACCTTTCTATCTCCAAATCTGCTACCACCTATTTTAGCAACACAATCTAGAATCAACATTATTTCTTCCCCACTATAAGTATTCCTCAATTTATGACCAGCACATTCAGTGACTATCCAAAACTACAGTGGTGCTAAACAAAGGGAATTATGTTTACTAATTAATTTAATAATAAAGGGATGATGTTACCTAGTCTGGTAATGAAATGTAACATTTAGAAACTAAATTAAAACAAGCTTAGAGAGCAAACCACTGCCAAAAGGGGAATCATGATTCCTGCCTGAAGTTACAGCTATCGCAGTGCCCCTGTGCTCATATGATCCAAATTTGGGCACTTAGCAGTGCATCCACAAACACACCATAGGGATAATTCCTTGCCACCTATTTATCTCTCCCCACCATCTCAGTTGCCCACCTAGTCCTCCAGCACATACAAAGCTGCCCAGGAGGCCTCAGCCTGTTCCTACCTCTCACTACTGCATCACATCCAGAAAGCTGAGGCCTTCTCCCTGCTCCACGTGCCTCGCCTATTACATTTGCTTTTCTGCAGCTACTGGTAGCTATCGCAAACCAATGCCAGGCAGACCTGAACAGCTAACAACCATGATGTTTCTGAAGAGTAAAAAGGAGCAGAGGGAACTCTTGTGTGGGCTGGAAAAAAGGAAACTTTGATCCTAAACATCCGAGCTTCCTTTCTCTGGCCCTGGATATTGGTTCTTTTCCATGCATAAACAGTAGGCAAAGGCCTGCTATGGACCAAAGAAATAAAATTCTGTCAGATTCCAAAACCTAAGAAACACAAGTCATTATTCTTCCGAACAGAATTCTTTATTTTTCTACACCTATAGACAAAATCTTGCCGAAATGAAGCAGATCAATCATATACTTTGGGAACTATTAGGCAGGTTGCTTTTGTTAAGTTTGAGGCATGGGTTTAATGAACGGAGACCAGACTGTCAACCTTGAACTTCAGCTCTTTATTTACAGCATGTTAACAGAGACAAAAAAAACCCGGATAGCGGCCGCCCTTTTATAGAGTGAACTGCTATCCGGATGACCAATGGGTGATGTTATTGGGTTTGAACCTCGTCCAATGGGACTCGGCCCGCCAACAGCCAGTCAGATTGCTCGGAATGAACCAATCCTAACTTGCCATTATATGGGCCAATAGGAAGTGCAGGATTACGATCCTGCTATGTAAATGAATCTTTATTAATCACATTTCTTTAGTTCACAACACCCCTCCCCTCTGGGTTCCGTTTGAGGGCCGTGGTGACGTAATCACGCAGGTATGCAGGTTGTTTTACCTGCCTATTTGATTTCCGCTGTTCCACCGGTTTTTGTTTAACGTTCGGTTCCGGTGGAACGCAAGGCTCGTTTTCGCCCGGGGTTGATTCCGCGACACTATCAGGGTCCCTTAAGTCCATTCCTGGATCGGGCAGGCATGTTTCCACTACGGTGTTCCTCTGCGGGGAGGATGCCCCCGATTCCGGACCTTCTTCAGGTGGCACGAGCACTTGGTTTAGCGGCCATCTGTACTCGATTACGTCGTCGTCTATACGGTCTTCGTCCCCCTCGGTATTCCCTCCCCTCTGAGTTTGGAAGTCCGGGGGGTCGCGGATATTTGGTTGTAAGCGAGATCGAAGTTGATCTATGTGGCATTTCCAAGAACATCTGGAAACGATCCATATACGACTCCCAGTCTTCTTTTTCTGGGTCAAAAAGAGCGGGTGGTATAGCGCCGCCTGACATCCTGTCGATGTAGGTGCACTCTCAGCCACGTGCTTCGGTTGGAACTCTGTAGGGTTTAGCCAGCTCTTTTGTCTCCGTATCCCATCCTCGTCGCCAGTGTTAAGTTTGAGGCATGGGTTTAATGAACGGAGACCAGACTGTTAACCTTGAACTTCAGCTCTTTATTTACAGCATGTTAACAGAGACAAAAAACCCCGGATAGCGGCCGCCCTTTTATAGAGTGAACTGCTATCCGGATGACCAATGGGTGATGTTATTGGGTTTGAACCTCGTCCAATGGGACTCGGCCCGCCAACAGCCAGTCAGATTGCTCGGAATGAACCAATCCTAACTTGCCATTATATGGGCCAATAGGAAGTGCAGGATTACGATCCTGCTATGTAAATGAATCTTTATTAATCACATTTCTTTAGTTCACAACAGCCTTCACCCTCTTTCTCTTACACAAAACTATCTGAACTGTGTTGTCTCTTACATCTCTAGAACACATCCCCTCTCTCCTGTGAATGTGACCCATCACAGACCTTTTGGTTCCTAGCTTCCTTTCTCCAGCCCAGTGCATGGAAGGGGGTAGACTGCCTTCTTTCTGCAGGCAGTTTTTCAGTCTGAGTTTAATGACCCCTACAATTGCTTAACAACCAGGAGACCAGGATTGTAGCTGTTGAGCGAAGCAGTCAGGTGAAGTATGGCTTAATGACTGCAACCACTTACAATCAAAATTATGAACCATAGTACTTGTATATTGCCAAAGCTTGTTGTTAGCACATAAAACAGCTATGCAGGGCTCTGATTGGCTTGCTTTTCTTCCCATTCGCAAATGGCAATTTTTTCTCTTTCTAGCAATGCCTACCTGGCTTACAGGCCATAAATAATTTTGTTAGCAGCTGGATGCACTTTTCATCACTCCAATTATACATGACTTTTGATAATATGTATAGATCTGCTTCAGGAATTGGATTTTTAAAACAATCCCCTGTAAAAAGAATAATCCTTTTATTAAAGTAGGACTCTGTCAAAGCCTAAATCATCTTGGAAAAAGAATTGATTCTCCCTTTCATAAAGATTGTCTCTACAATACTACTAGCTTCTTTCAGAAGTGCTTTTTAAAATGGCAGAGATATTGATTCAAAACATATATTACCTTCATGGAAAGAGATCCGGGAATCATCTGAAAATGAACTATATTTTTTTGATTTTTCCACAATTTCAGGAAGGTCACAAAGTTTCACAGTACAATTTGGGTACTTTGAAATTAATTCCTTGGCTAAGCAAACATTATTTCCTTAAAGAAAAACAAAATGCAAAAAAAAGGAGTTAAGAAAAACATCCTGTATGTCAACATTTGTGATGATTTACTATAACCTTTATTAAGATTTCTTAGTTATTTCCATCACTTTAGGTTTTATGTAGATGGGCTAAGCAGGTACATAATACTGTGATTTAAACAAATATATTCATTGAAATATGTTGTCTCATTCATTGTCCTACACTGTTACATTTTTGTCGGTACCTTTTTACTACCTCTAAGAAGTTCGTTTATTTTAAAATCTATCCTACTAGATGTTATTTTTCATTCCACTCCTATCCAGTGATTCTTTGCATCATTTCTTCTCTTATTACTTTGCTTTATCAAAACTAAAGATCTTACTTTTACTCTAAGTGTCTGTAATAAAATCTGAACAGAAATTAATCCAATCTTTTCTGTTCTATTATTGCTTACAGTTTTATGTAATGTATCTATTTTATAAGTTGTGTTGTTTTCCATTCTGACTGTGAAAACATTTTTCAAACTTAATACCAGCTATTCAAGGATCTTTTATCCTAAAACCTCCACTATAGTAAATCTATGCTACATTATAGCAATAGCACTTAGACTTATATACCGCTTTATACTGCTTTACAGCCCTCTCTAAGCGGTTTACAGAGTCAGTATAACAATTTGGGTACTCATTTTACCCACCTCGGAAGGATGGAAGGCTGAGTCAACCTTGACCCTGGTGGTATTTGAACTGTAGGCAGCTGGCTGCAGAAGTAGCTTGCAGTACCGCACTCTAACCGCTGCGCCAAAGAGGCTCCATATTATGTTTTACATATATTTTTTTCTCTGTGTATGCCTTCAACTAAGTTTTGACTCCTGGAGATTGCCTGAACAAGTTCCCCCTGTTTTCTTGCCAAGATTTCAGAATTGGTTTACCATAGTCTCCTTCTAGAGCTGAGAAAATAACTGGCCCAAGGTCACCCAGGTGGGTTTCTGCCTGAGGCTGGAGCACAACTCTTGGTCTTCCACTTTCTAGCTTGATGCATTTAACCCCAACAAAAAGCTCTTTCGTGGATTAAGATAATGCTGATAAGATAATTCATTTTAAAGTTGATATTTACAATCAATGTTTAAATTCTAGGAGAGGAAAGACACAGGATTGGATCCTTCACTCTGACTTTTACAATTAAGAAATTACATGTTTTGACAGAACCTGAGCACCATATCACATTAAATTAATAATAATGAGTATGATTAAGACCTTCTAGTACTTACCATCTAGATTATAAATGAGCTGAAAACCAGAAAGATCAAATGAAGATACAACTTCTTTTCCATACAGAGTCCAACTTTCATTCATGTACCTAAAAAGGCTTTCAGCACCTTCGTTTGATCTAGAATTAAAATTTGTTCTGGCAGATGATCAACAGACATATAACTAAATGAAATACAATATGATTAACACCTGATCATAAAGCTGGAATTATACTTTTCATTATATGGCTATGGTTTCTGCAGGCTTTTGTGTTAATTATCTGGTTTTAAGAAGCAGGTTGTTAAATATCTGAACTGAAGTTGATGGCATTATTAGTCCATATGCACCTAAATGAATTATTCCCAATTATTCTCTATATGCTCACTTTATACACTGAGCAATTCCTGGCCAGAACTGCTAAATGTGTCAATATGTGCTTCAGGATCAGCTATTCTGGAAGGGATCTGAAAAATAGTCCAACGTTTTTGTGGACTGGCATTTGAGCAATAGAAAACACAGGACAAGGATTTGGGTGACTCTCTGGATAATGAATGAAAGCATCTTTGTTCCTATACCGCACCTTCTAGCAGTTGAGATGTAGTTGACCTAGCTCTACTTGTAGATTTCAAATGTCCCTTTTGAAAATTAATACTTGGACAGGTTGTTAGAATATCCCAATACCAGAAAAAGATAGATAGAAAACTTGAAAAAATCATAAGACAGAAAAGACATGGGCAGTATGCATGGTATTTGTGCTTCACTAAAATCCAAACATAATTACTTCTCAAAAGAAAAACCCTCTCTTCAGTTCTTTGTCTTCTTGCAAACCATCTATTCTTCAATTTTGAAAAAAAAAATTCGAAAACAATCTATTCTTCAATGTTGAAAAAGCACTACACAATCTAAAACCATCTCTCTCTATTGGACCGGATGGAATATGTGCCTACTTCTTAAAAAAACTATCCACTGCTGTTGTGGCTCCGGGTCTGGATTCTGCTCCTGTGGCTGATATGAGTTCAAGTGAGGAGGACATGGCAGAAAAATATGAGCCGGCATGGCTCAGTGATTGGAATAGTAACCAGGATGAGGAGATGGATATAACAAAGGAAGACAGACCTGAAGTATTAGAATTGTCAGGACCTTTGACCTCCTCTGGTTCTTTATCTGATCAGCAGCCGGGAATGGCTGACAGGGAAGGCATGAGAGAGTCTTCTAGTGGAGATGAGAATTTGGAAAACTTGTGGTTAAACGTAAGGAACAGAAGGAGACTAAGGAGACAAACTCAGCTAGAAAGAAGGAGGAGAGTGAGCCAATAATTAGGGAAATTAGCACGTTGCCTAAGTGAATAAAAGGACACAGCTGTGCTGGTAGAATTCGCCAGAAGCAAAGTGACTAATTGAGAGTGAAGACGTTACAGCAGAAGCTCTGAGGCTTGAGATTTATTGCCACAACAGGTTTGCCAGACAGAGTAAAGATTTATGCTGTGGATTGAGATTTATGCCAGCCGTTATCTTGTGGGACTTTGTTTTGTTTGAATTACTTCTGAAACGGCTGCTTTCTGTTTTGCTCGCTTGAATTTGAAGGGGAGTCATAACACACTGCCATAGATGAACCTCTAAGCATAATCTTTGAAAAATCTTTCAGGACCAGCTCCTTGCCTAACCTATGGTCACAAGCCACGGTCATCCCCATCTTCAAAAAGGGAGACCCCAGCCTAGTTGAAAATTACAGACCAATCTCCTTATGCTGCGTCACCTGTAAAGTCATGGAATCAATTATTAACCAATCCATTATCTTCCACTTAGAGACAAATAACCTACTCTCCAATAAACAATTTGGTTTCAGAAAAAAACTATCCTGTAATCTGCAACTCTTACACTGCAAAAACATATGGATGACACAACTCGATCAGGGCAAAGCAATAGATGCAATCTACATAGACTTCTGTAAAGCCTTTGATTCAGTGGTACACGACAAACTACTCCTAAAAATAATATCTTATGGTATCTCTGGACAACTGCATAACTGGATAGAAGCATTCCTGTCAAACAGACAACAAATGGTCAAAATTGGGAGTGTCCTATCAAATTCTGTACCTGTCAATAGTGGTGTCCCCCAAGGCAGTGTTCTAGGACCAACTCTCTTCATACTCTACATAAATGACCTCTTTGATCATATTAAGAGCAACTGCGTTCTTTTTGCTGATGATGTAAAGCTGTTCAATACCACAGACAATACTGCTACCCTTCAAAAAGATCTTGACTATGTGTCAGAATGGTCAAACAAATGGCAACTTCAAATCTCAACAAATAAATGCTCTGTCTTACATATTGGCAAAAAAAATAATCAGAAAATAAAATACAATCTGAATAGTCAAGATCTTGTTGATGATCCAAGCTCTGTAAAGGACCTTGGAATACTCATCTCTAATGATCTAAGTGCTAGAGCCCACTGTAACTACATAGCCAAAAAGGCATTAAGAGTTGTTAACCTAATCCTACATAGCTTTTTCTCTGGTAATATCACAGTACTAACTAGAGCATACAAAACATTTGCTAGACCAATACTCGAATACAGCTCATCAGTCTGGAACCCACATTACGTATCTGATATTAATACAGTTGAGAAAGTCCAGAAATATTTCACAAGAAGAGTTCTCCACTCCTCTACTCGTTGTAGAATATCTTATGCCACCAGACTTAAAATTCTAGAACTAGAAAACCTTGAATCACACCGTCTTCAGTCTGATCTAAGTATGGTATATAAAATCATACACTGCAATGTCCTACCTGTCAATGAATACTTCAGCTGCAACCATAACAACACAAGAGCACACAATAGATACAAACTCAAGGTTAACCGCACCAAACTTGATTGCAGGAAATATGACTTCAGCAACAGAGTGGTCAATGTCTGGAATAATCTACCTGACTCTGTAGTTTCTTCCCCAAACCCCAAAAACTTTAACCTTAGACTGTCTACTATTGACCTCACCCCTTTCCTAAGAGGTCTGTAGGGGGCGTGCATAAGCGCACCAACGTGCCTACCATCCCTGTCCTATTGTTTCTTTTGTTTTTCTTATATGTACCCATTTCATGTATTCATAACTATGTATATACTTATACTTATTACCTTGTAAGCAATTGACAAATCAAATAAATAAATAAATAAAATAAATTTTCATAACTGATAACTTGCTTAATCATGTTGTTTGTAACCTAGTCCCCAAGTTTTGACTATAGGTTGGATGGAATAATGTGAGAAATAAGAGCAAAACTGGGTTTTGGTTCTGCTTGTGACACACTGGCCAAAATCATTGTAGGCGAGTATTATTGCTAATTTAGTCTTTTGGTCTTATGAAAATATTTGCAGGGTTGCAAAAATGAGATAGGTTAAGAAAAACAAAGGAAAACAGCTATTTACTACCCAATCTTTATATAGGAAAATCATAAAAATGCTAGTTTTACCTGTACAGAGGTTCATAAAAATCTTTTGGAGAAATGCCACGTTTCGACAGAATCTCAGTGTTTCCATCCCTGTAGCAGATATTTTTGTTTGTTTTTTAAAAAGAATTGAAAGTAAAATAAATGACATTGGTGATTATATTCTTTTAATTTCTTCAATTATATTCAGCATCAAATAGTGCTTGTATTCAAATAGCAAATAATATTACTTGCAGTTACTCAAAAAATAAACACTAATGGAAAGCTAGAAAGAGAGTAAATTGAACTGAGATCTTGATATTCATTTTGTTTCACTGTGTGTTTTTTATTATTAAATAGTATGATGACCAAACAAATTCCTTTAACCAAGATTGTTTTCTTCTTGGCTAGTAGAGAGCAGATTGTTGTCTTTTGAAGGATTTTTTTTTCATATTGATCATTAAATTATGAATTTTAAGGTTTTTCATCAAATGGGTTAGGGTTAGGGTTAGCTTTGTATGTATGTGTGCAGGCATGCTTGTGCATGTGTGGAGACATTTTCCAGAAAGATTTCTCAAGAATTAAATTTTCATTAAGTGAATTTGCAACATGCACCACTGGAAAGTCCAAATGGAAATAGGTGTGGGTAATCAGCTCACTACCATCTATTGAAACTCCATCTCTTGTACAGCGCAGAAAAGTACTTCAAGAAAGTGCAGGGATTGTTAGTTCTTTCATCTCAACAGAGACAGCTGAGAAAACAGGCAAATTGTATTAAGCGATGACGATTCTACAATAAACAAGTGAATAATCAAGAAATCTAACAGGAATCTCTGAGTGAGGACTCAAGTTTCTGATCTTTTTGGGAAAGGAAGACTGGTCAGTAAAGTGTCCTTGGTAAAAAGATTTTTACTCCACCAATACTCTCTCCTCACCTCACAATTTCAGGCAAGTGTTGCAATGACAAATATGTGAATTCCGAACAGAACTTCATGGAATAATACTGAGACTTTGGACTTGATTTAGCCAGAAAGAGATCAGCAAACTCTGTGTTCCCATAAAGGTCTGAAAATGAAAGCATATTATTGCTTCAAAATACCATTTCTGAATTCCATATACTTTTCAGATGAGCAAAGCATAATGTTCACTGTAAGTGAATTGTAGTTTTCAGTTTATTCCAGTTTGTTTCAGTCATGAAACAAAAAACATTTGTTCTGGCATTCCAAAAAGTAAGGTGACCAATTTTTTTTACAATGAAAAGGAGGACACAAATAAATTGAAGAAAAAAAACAAAGCCACTTGCGCGCGGCACACTCTTGCGCGCGGTGTACTCTTGCGCGCGGCACTCTCTCTCAAAACAATTCTCCTGTGTGGAGCGCATGCGTCTCATAATCACGTCTCGCCACACTGTACCGAGCCTTGACGAATCGTCATGTCAAATACAAATACGTCACATCACACACAACGGACCTGATCGGCATCGATCAAATACGGAGATTTACAGATTAGTCTTCAAATATCAAAAAGGAGGACATGTAGGAGGACACTTTTTGAGAGAAGACAGAACTTACAAAAGGAGGACTGTCCTCCCTAAAGGAGGACAGTTGGTCACCTTACAAAAAGGGCTGCTGACAATGTTGAAATAAGTTACAGGCTGGTAGGCTGGCTGAATTCTTTGGATATAGCATTTATAAGAAAACAAATTAGTAACCAAAACTCATTAGCTATGTATAATTACTTCACAATGACTAAATCAAAACAGAAGAATAATGAGAAAAAAATGACCAGAAAGTGCTAACTTTTTGGAAAAGAATGCTATGTGATCATTTTAAAACAACTGTAACTGCTTCCTCCCTGCTAACAGCATCACCTTTGCCATCCTTCCATTCCACTTTCAGAACCTTTAACCCCACACAGGCCCTCAGCAGTGTCTGCATGGGTTTTTCATTTCTTCCCATCCCAGGTGAGACACTATCATTCTTTTGGACAGTCACTTTCCCTTTTTACCTGTCCTTTGGATTCCAAGGAAGAATCACAAAGGAGTCTTCTTTGGAGGCAATGCTTTTATAGTTTCCAGAGTCTTGGTAAGCACAGCTAAACTATGCAAATGCCACATCTTCAGAGGCTGGGGTGCATTTTTAAAATATTTTTGGGCAATGGACTCTTCCTCAATGAAGTACTGTGTATATTGTATCTGTTGTTAAAAATAGAGTTCAAAAGTGCAGATAGAAATCTTTCCAGAATTCACTTCTTCCTTAAACTTGCCCAATAACACATATAGACAAACATTCACTTTGCCTAATTGTTGTGACTCAAATTGTCAATAACAAACTCCTCTACTAAGGAAGTAGAAATACCTATTCTGCTAACTATAGTAAATGGCAGCTGAATAGAAACTGTACCTTTGGTCTTTCATTTCATTTCAAAGCTTTTATCCCCATTGCGGAGCTGAAGAAATTGAGTTCAAGAGTTTGTTGGTTGACTCTTTACTGATGTCTCTGCCTTCTCCTAATCAACACAAATATATCGAGTAGTACATGTTGCTATGTGTGACACATTGAGGGCAGAGCACCAAATTCACACTTTACCCAGAATACTTTAACTTCTTACATGACAGAAAAATAAACACAGATGGCTGATGCTTCATTTAACATCATTATAAACATAATAAGTAGATTTTTCAAACCAGTTGTAGATTTCTCCAACATGGAGCAAACTCAGACAGAAACATGTTGCAAGTACTTCAGTAGCAACTTCAGCAGTTCAGAAACAGATATCAGTTTCATTTTAGTTCAGCAAGCAAGCAAGTTAGTTTCATCTTCAATAGACAGACTCAGAGCTCACAATAGCTTCAGAGCTGCAGAGCTTAATATAGAGCCACACCTAGGCTACTTCTAGTTTCAGTTTCCAAACTGTTCTCGTTGGCTGATTTAGTTGCTATGCCTATTCATTGGCTGACCTTGTTACCGTGCTCTATTCCAGTTCATGAATATACTCTGACACAACTACATTTTGACCTTGTAGTCTTTCAAGTGGAAAAACCAGTTGGATTTTCAGTTATCAGTATGTAAATGATACCCAGCTCTACATCTCAATCCTGTGCAGATGAAGCTATCAATCTACTGACCCAGTACCTCAAGACTGTTTGCATATGGATGGGGAGGAAGTGACCAGTTCAATGCAAGCAAGATAGAATGGCTTTGGCCATTTGACCTCCCAGGTTTACAATATTTCTTTCATTAGTTTTGCATGGGGGTTTAATTCCCTATTCAGGACAGGTACACAACATGGGGGTTCTCCTGGACTTGCAGCTACTGCTCAATCAGAAGGTGACACCTATAACCAGGAGGGCCCTTGTCCAAACTGGTGTACCAGTTGCATCTCTTCCTTGACAGGAGGCCCTTGAAATAGTCATTCATGCCATTGTCACCCCCCTCCAAGGATGTTGGTAAGGACAGTGGGTGGGTCTCAGTCCTGAGAATTGAGGGGCACAAATATGGAGATGGGATTACAGTTGGGGGAATGAAGGTGGATGTCAGCGTTCCAGAAAAACAAACTCCAACACCAAAACTCCGAGACAGGCATTTTCTCAAAGTTCCATTTTATTTGAGTTGTCATACTGGCACATCTGGGAAAACCTGAATCTGAGAGTTTCGGGTTTTACCTCAGTAATTGAAATTCAAAGACCCAATCCCCTGAATCCATCAATCCATCACATGGCCCAGTCACCATCTGTCCCAACAGGACACAATCCTCTAACCATTCCTCAACCAGGAGGATGACATGACCTTGACTGAAAAGAAGAATGTTATTATGTCAAACTACATATACCCTATGAAATCCCCCCTCCCAATTTCTCAGGCTCAGGAATGTGGCAGCATGGAAGCTGCTGGTGCTAATATGGCTTCCAAAGCTGACAGGGAACTAATCAGATATTTGCATACAGGTTTGGGAAGGTGGGGTCTAGCGATTGTTATCAGGAAACCCCTTTAATGGAAGGTGGACAAAGAGGCCTTATAAAAGATATATCTGGAAACATTCAAGTTTCCTCTTCCAAGTTCAGATAGAAACAGATTTGCTCTTTGCTTATTTGTTGTATTAGATTTCTATGACTTAAGGTGGCATACATAGCAGTCAGTTTGTTCTGTAATAGCTCAGTGAAAACAGGAAATGTTCTCACTCTTTCTTCCCAACCTTCTTCATATGGTTTTTAAGAGCTTCCTCTGCTGAAGGAAACTTGCAACATCTTGTACCCTATAAATTCATTCACAACGCAGTGTGTATTGTGCATAATACTCCTGTGTATTTGGATCCTCCTGTGGCAGCCTTCATCAGGCCCATTTCATTTTTTCCCACCCCATATTAGATACTGCCACTTTGGGAATTGTCACCATTTTTTTTTCCTATCCTGTAAAAGAATTGGTAATATTTCATCTCAGAGACAATGTTTTTATAGTCTCCTGTAGTAGTTATTGTATTGCTATGAAGTCAGTTTTCTGATCTAATCTACCTCTTGGGCAACATGTTGTTCCCTCAGAATGACAAAATCTCAAGAGTTATTCAGCCTAAATTACTTTCTTCCAGTGAGGAAAATCAAAGTAATGTCAATAGATAGACTATAAGGTTAATATGGATACACACATACACAAACACACAAACACACACATTAGGATCAATACAATAAGCATTTTTATTATTTGAAATTATTTGACATTTAGTTGGAATGAAGCATGTTGAATATTATTTTCTGGCCAAAATGACATCATAAACATTTCCTTTCTTAAACTGAATGTCTTTAAAGCCAGCAGTTTGGAAGAGCATTCGATGTTCTGATTCTTTCCATGACTTTCCTTCACATATAAGCAACATTAAAATGCAGTACAAATGAGCAGGAAGCGACTCAGATATTTTGTCATCAATAATTGGATCTATTGCTAAGACTCCACCACCTGTTGCAAAAGTAATTTGTTAAATAAGTAATAGCTCACCTACAAAAGAGGTAATGCATCACATTTTCATTTTTACGGCTGTGATCTTTCTCCCCAAAATTTCCCCCTCTTCTAAAAATATTATTTTGGGAAATTCGACTCTTTTCCCCTAGACTAAGTCTATGGTAGATTTTAATCTCCTGAAGGTCCTAAAAGGATATAAAAATGTTATGCAAACCCTGGATCCTTCATCGTTGCTTAATTCAAAACATATGCCACCTTTGCCTATTTCCTACAGGATTGCTTCCCATGCTCTACCTCTTCTGCTTCTATTTCATGACTGAAGCATCACAGACATTCTATGGAATCTTTCCACAAGTGTACTTTGTTTAAATTCAATGATAAGTGGCATTTCTCTGTCTTGGAAGGGTAAGAAAGAAACAGGTTTCATAACATAGCTTTCATAGGCACTATGGCAGAAACTGGATTCCATAGTATAGTAATGCTTCAATGTTGGTTAGGGAGCACACAGAAAGCTGCTATGGCCCAGGAGGCCTCAGTATGCTCCCTGCCACCTTCTCCCCACCCCACAAGAAATAGAAGTTCCAGTCCTTCTCCTTGCACCATCATCTACTGGTCTGCTATATTTACTTTTGTGCAGCTGCTGATAACTACGTCAAGCCAATTTGAACCACAACTAGACAGCATAATGTTCTGAAGGATAGAAAGGCTAGCACATGGAGAAGAGGGGAACTCATGTGTGGGCTGGAAAAAGGAAACTAGGCTAATGAAGATCTGAGCTTCCTTTCTCTGGCCCAACATAGTGGTTCCCTTCTGCACATGGAAGGCAGGGGAAGGCCTGCTGTGGATCAGGGAAAGAAAGCTCTGTCAGTCTCCAAGAAAGATATGTAGTGATTCTTCCAAACATAGGTCTTTATTGGTCTACATGTACAGACAGAATCTTGCCAAACTGAAGCTAGCTTCACGAAGTGTTAAGTCTGGGGGCTATTGGGGAAGAGTTGGCTTCATCCTCTTCCACAAACTATCTGAACTCTGTTGTCTCTTATTCCTCTGGATGCACCCCCTCCTTCCTGGGAATCCGCCCAACTACATTCCATCACATGTCAGACTTTTGGGGTCCAAGCTTCTATTCTGCATCCTAATCCAAAAATTCCCTTCCATGCATGGAGAGAAACTGCCTGTCCTCTTTTGGCACGCAGTTTTTCAGTCCCCCCACCACTTAACAAGCCACACAACTGCTTAACAGTCTCAATGAAAGATCCAGGATTGTGGTCACTGAGCGATGTGGTCACATATTTTACAGGTAGTCCTTGACTTACAACCCAATTGGGCCCCAAATTCCTGATGTTAAGCAAGATAGTTGTTAAATCACTGCAGTTGTTAAGTTGGTAACACAGTTATAGAATTAATCTGGCTTCCCCATTGACTTTGCTTGTCAGCAGGTTGTAAAAGGTGATCACATGACCCCAGAACACCACAACCATCATAAATAGGCAAGCATCTGAATTTTGATCACGTGCCCATCTAACTTCGAACAGTCACTAAAAGAATAGTTATAAGTCAAGGACTACCTATATCACTTAATGACTGCAAAGACCTACAACCAAACTTCTGAGACCCTTTTAGGTCATAAGTGAGCACTACCTCACTTGTCAAAGGTTGTTGCAAATACATTTAAAAATGTACGGATCGCTCTGATTGGTTTGTTTGTCTTCCCATTCACAAATGGCAATTTTTTCTCTTTCTAGCAATGCCTACCTGGCTTACAGGCTGTAAATACTTTTGTTAGTAGCTGGATACACTTTTCATCATTCCAATTATACAAAACTCTTGATAAGATGTAAAGATCTGCTTCGGGAATTGGATCTTTTAAAAAATCCCCTGTAACAAGAATAAATCTCTTAATAAGATAGGAATTTGTTAATTCTACTAACAACGTGGAGAAACAATTTACTCTCCTGTTCATAAAGCTTGCTCTACAGTGATACTACCATTTTTTAAACTACTGCTTTGCAATGGCAGAGATGTTAATTCAAAGGACATATTACCTTCGTGGAAAGAGATCTGGGATTCATCTGAAAATGCATTATATTTTTTTGATATTTCCACAACTCCAGGAAGATCGAAAAGTTTCACGGTACAATTTGGGTACACTGAAATCAATTCCTTAGCTAAGCCACCGCTACTTCCTTGGGAAAAAAACAACACAATGCAAAAAAGGAACTATGTGAGACAGATATCCTCCATATCAATATTTTTAACAATTTACTAGAACATTTGTTATGATTTTTAGCTTACCTCATTATTTTATTGTTCATATAGCTATGCTAAACAGACATATAATATTGTCATTTAAAGAAGTGTACAAATGTATGTTTGTTTGTTTGGTTATTTATTTATATATCAAACTTATTAAATGTGCATCTCCCTCACCAGGGGCTCTGAGGGGTGTACAATCAATAAATAAAACATTTTACAACCCTGTAATCCCTTTTATCAGGATGGAGGTCAGGGCAACTAACTGAAGCTGAGCATTTCCTGGTTGGTGCCCTTCCTGACGCCTATGCAGAGTTTGCAGCAGATATTTTCTCTTTGCAGCTTGATAGAGAAACGTATGTTGCTGCCTAGGATTGAACTCTCAACGTTCTGAGTGGGAGGCAAGCATCTTCACCTCTAGGCCATGATGCCATTCAATAATAAAACATTAAAAATGAATAATTTAAGATTAAAAATGTAAGACATTATAAAAGTGCAAGAGATAGAGAGATCCAAGATGGGAAGACAAAAAGTTAATACAGGAGGGGCATGGGTGATGTCATGAATTCTCTCCTATGGATGTGTGGGCTCTGATGTCCTCTACAGCCAAGTTTTGATACCATTACAGAAGGCCAGAAGATTGAGGACTTTCCTCAGTTCTGGGGGCAAGATGTTCTGCAAAGCAGGAACAGCAGCAGAAAAGGCCCTTTTCCTTGACCCAGCCAGTCAGAATTTTCTGACTGACATGTTCTGTAGCACAAGTACAGCACGCCGATAGAGTGGTTCTTCTCCCCAAGCCCAAGAGTGATTGGAAGATTGCCAGCTTGGATGCAGATAAAAGTCCCCATGCTTGGAATTGGGTGTGGAGGGGAGGTTTGTATGTGTGTGCACACAACACACTGAAGGAAAGGTCCTTCCCTCCAAGCTCGGGGCACAATTGCCAGCATGGATGAAGATAAAAGTCCCCAAGTTCAGAATGGTGCGTGTGTCTCTGTGTCTCTATGTCTCTGTGTGTGTTCACTTCTCTCAAGCCAGGCCAAGCCAGGAAACCAGAGTGGGAGGCCCAGGCTCATGACAAGTTTTCCCCATGGCAAGCTGCCTAGGGCAAGTTGTTCTGCAGCCAACTGACAATGGCGAGTTATCTCATTCCAGCCTGGAGAAACCCTTATAGGGGTGGGGTGGAGATGGGGGTTTGGGTTGTTTGTTTATTTTTGTTTTGGCAAAGTTTCAGTACAGGTTTGCCATTGCTTCCTTCATTGGGCTGAGAAAAAAAAATGACTGGCCCAAAGTCATCCAGCTGGACTAAAACTCCTGGTTTCCAGGTTTCTAGCCTGAATGTTTTAACCACCACAGGAGCTGGCTCTCTTTTCATTCAATGCATCATTACACTATTATCTCAGGCAAGGGATGGAAAAGGTAGGAAAAGAGTTATTTCATCTTCAAAAACATGCCCATCTCTTTCCAAACAGTCTCAGTATTGTTGGTACTTACTGTGAGTCATTGACTAATTCTGATAAGCTAAGCCATTTTAAAATTGGGTATTTATAAATAATGTTCAAAACTCTAGAAGAGAAGATCACAGGGTAGAATTCTACAAGCCTAAAGTACTTTTACAATCGGGGAATTATAAGTCTTAATAGAGCCTGAAAGACTTTCAATCCAGTTTCTCCAAAATTTATTTATTTTTATTTATTTATTTATTTATTTTGTGAAACAATTAGATAACAAGTATAAGTATAAACATGGTTATAAATATATGAAATGGATATGAATAAGAAAAAGAAAGAAACAATAGGACAGGGACGGTAGGAACGTTTTGGTGCGCTTATGCACGCCCCCTACAGACCTCTTAGGAAAGGGGTGAGGTCAATAGTAGACAGTCTAATGTTGAAGATTTTGGGGGTTGGGGAAGAAACCATAGAGTCAGGTAGAGTATTCCAGACATTGACTACTCTGTTCCTGAAATCGTTTCTCCTGCAATCAAGTTTGGTGCGGTTTATCTTTAGTTTGTATCTATTTAGTGCTCTTGTATTGTTTTGGTTGAAGCTGAAGTATTCATTGATAGGTAAGACATTGCAATGTATAATTTTATATACTATACTTAGATTGAACCGAAGGCGGCGTAGTTCTAAGTTGTCTAGGTCTAAAATTTCAAGTCTGGTGGCATAAGGTAGAGGAGTGGAGGATTCTTCTCGTAAAGTATTTCTGGACTTTCTCAATTGTATGAATATCAGATATGTAATGCGGGTTCCAGACTGATGAGCTGTATTCAAGTATTGGTCTAGCAAATGTTTTATATGCTCTAGTTAGTAGAGTGATATTATCGGAGAAAAAGCTATGCAGGATTAGGTTAACAACTCTTAATGCCTTTTTGGCTATGTAGTTACAGTGGGCTCTAGCACTTAGATCATTTGAGATGAGTATTCCAAGGTCCTTGACAAAGTTTTTGTCATCAATAATGTCTTGACTATTCAGCTTGTATTTTATTTTTTGATTTTTTTTGCTGATATGTAAGACAGAGCATTTATTTGTTGAGATTTGAAGTTGCCATTTGTTTGACCATTCTGACACATAGTCGAGGTCCTTTTGAAGAGTAGCAGCATTGTCAGTGGTGTTGAATAGCTTTACATCGTCACCGAAAAGAACGCAATTGCTCTAAATAAAATCACAGAGGTCATTAATATAAAGTATGAAGAGAGTTGGTCCTAGAACACTGCCTTGGGGGATACCACTGTTGACAGGTACAGGATTTGATAGGGTACTCCCAATTTTGACCATTTGTTGCCTGTTTGACAGGAATGCTTCTATCCAGTTATGCAGGTATCCAGAGATACCATAAGACCTTAGTTTTAGGAGTAGTTTGTTGTGTACCACTGAATCAAAGGCTTTACAGAAGTCTATGTAGATTGCATCTATTGCTTTGCTCTGATCGAGTTGTGTAGTCCATATGTTTTTGCAGTGTAAGAGTTGCAGGTTACAGGACAGTTTCCTTCTGAAACCAACTGTTTGTTAGAGAGTAGGTTATTTGTCTCTAAGTGGAGGATAATGGATTGGTTAATAATTGATTCCATGACATTACAGGTGACACCGGATAAAGAGATTGGTCTGTAATTTTCAACTAGCCTGGGGTCTCCCTTTTTGAAGATGGGAATGACCATGGCTAGTGACCATAGATTTGGCAAGGAGCTGGTCCTGAAAGATTTTTCAAAGATTATGCTTAGAGGTTCAGCTATGGCAGTGAATAGCTTTTTTAAGAAGTAGGCACAAACTCCGTCCGGTCCAATAGATAGAGATGGTTTTAGATTGCGTAGTGCTTTTTCAACATTGTCTTCTGTAAAATGTATTAGATCATTGTAGTTTTCTGTGGTTCGACTAGGAAATATTGGGCATGATCCATTGCTGTTTACAAATACTGAGCCAAAGAATGTGTTAAAGAGGTTGGCTTTAATGGTGTCATCGTTGTTGTCTTTACCATTAGGTCCTATCAGGGGTGGGATGGACCTTGAGTCTTTTAGTTTGTTGTTTACAAAATTGTAGAAAGCGCAGGTGAAATTGGTGCGTAGAAGGTTTTCCTCTTGTTTAGTGTGATAATTGGTACATTCAGTCTTTATCTGGTGGCATACATTTTTGTATCGGCTTTTAAAGTTGGCAACGTGACCAGATTTGTTTTTCCACCAAAGAGATTTCTTTTTGGATTGGAGCTTCCTTATTGTTATGGGTAATTTGTTTTTTCTGGTTTGGGGAGTTGTTATTGGTACATATAGTTTGATGACCCTTTTGACTTCAAGTAAAAAAATATCACATAATATCAAATTGCTAATAAGGGGCATGATGAATATCTTCACATACTTACCACCCATATCATAAATGAGCTGAAATTCAGAAAGATCAAAGGCAGAGACCACTTCTTTTCCATAGAGACTCCAAGCCTCACTCATGAAATGGAAAAAGCTTTCAACACCTTCCTTTGAACTAGAATTGAAATTTGCATTGGCAGATGATCAACAATTACATGAAATACAATATGATTAATGTCTGATCATATGTCTAAAATTATATTTTTCATTATGTAGCCATGGTTTCTGCAGGCTTTTGTTAATTATCTAGTTTTAAAGAACAGATTATTTAATATTTGTCTTGAAGTTTGATGGCATTAGTAATCCATATGACCTAGATGAATTATTCTCATTTCCATCCAATTTGTACCCTGAGCAATTCCTGGGCAGAATTGTTGAACACTGTGTGCCAACATTTGCCTCAGGATCAACTGTCCTGAAAGGATCTCAAAAGTAGTTCAACATTCTTGTGGACTAGCATCGGAGCAACAAAAGTATATTACAAGGATGGACTAGTTTACAACCTAGACTGATGGACTAGTTTACAACCTAGACTGGAGAATCTCTGGGTAATGAACGAAAGCATCTTTGTTTCTATACTGGACCATACTGCACATTCTAGCATTTGAGATGTAGATGACCTAGCTGTACTTGTAGATTCCAGTTTTCCCTTTTGAAAATTAATTCTTGATCAGTTAGACAGGTTGTAAAAATATCCCAATGCCAGAAAAGAAAGATTGAAGGCTGAAAGAAAAAAATATCATAAGATATAAGGGCATGGGAAAGTTTATAAATTATTCATGCTTCATTAAGTTCCAAACATAGCTACTTTTCATACTATTTCTTTTCAGGGTAATCAACCTTATGCAAAGACCAGGTAATAATAGATGAGCTGGGAAGTAGAAGATAACAAGAAACACACACACAAACCAAGATTATGAAAACAATAATCAGCATATCTCTCTATGCCTTCTTCTCCTTGCAAATCATCCAGGGGTGATAAATTGGCTGATGGACTAGTTTACAACCTAGACTCCAAAGTTGTGATTGTAGGATGGATGGAATAGTGTGAGGATTATTAGAATAAAACTGGGCTTTGGTTCTCTTTGTGGCAGATTGCTCAAAATTAGTGTTGGTGGGTAGTGCTGCTAGTCTAAGCTTGTTTAGTAAATTTAAATAAAACTTTCAAGAAAACATATTTGCAGAGTTGCAAAGTGAGATTTGATAAGAAAATTAAAAACAAAACAGCTATTTACTATCCAATCTCTACAAACCAAAGTCATACAAATGCTACTTTACCTGTACTGAGGTCCATAAAATTCATTTGAAGGAGTGCCATATATTGATAGCATCGGAGGTTTCCCATCCCTGTAGCAGATGTTTTGTTTTTTGTTTTAATTGAAAACAACAAAAATACCATTAGCTATTATATTCTTCTACTTCCCCAGCATCAAAATAGTGTTTCTATTCAAATAGCATAATAATATTACTTGCAAAAGTTACTCCAAAAATATCATAGGCTCTAAACAGTACTGAAACCTGGGAAGTGAGTGGATCTGACAGAAACTGACTCGTTATGTCCTTCTTGTTTCACTAAATAGTTATTAAATTCATTTAGTCAATCTTTTTGCAGGATATTTTTTGTCATTTTCATCATTAGACTTTTTGAATTCTGATATTTGATGAACTGAGTTTTGCTTCAATCATCAAAGTGTCTTTCTAATTAAAATGCAGCTAAGACAATGTTTTAATCAGATTAAAAATCTTAACCCTAATTTTTATAAATTGGCTTTCTATGTATATCTGCAGGCATGCCATGCAAAGGCATCTTTTCCAAAGACATTGAGCAACAATTAAATTTTGATTAAGTGAATAAATAACACCACTGGAAAATCCAAAAGGAAATGGGTGTGTATAATCAGTTCACCACCATGGCATCTGCTGAAACTCTATATCTTAAATTAAACAGACCTAGAGGTGCAGAGATAATTACTTCTTCAATCTCAGGAGAGACCACTGAGAAGATAGACAAGAGAGAAAATCTATTCAGTGATGATGATTCTACAGTAATTGAGTGAACAAATATGCAAATGATACAGCAAACAAAACTGCCACATGGTAAGGACACTAATCCCTGTTACTTGTTGGAAAGGAAGACTATCATCCTGACCTAATATTGTCTTTGAGAAGAAGTTTTTACTTTACTGGTACTCCCTTCTTACCTCACAGCTTCAGACAAATGTTGCATAGCTGGATACACAGCTTCTGAATGGAACTTCATGGTATAATACTGAGACTTTGAGCTTGATTTAGCCAGAAAGAGATCAGCAAACTCTGTGTTTCCATAAAGACCTGAAAATGATAAAACAATTACTTCAAAACCTCGTTGCTGAATTCCATATACTGAATTCCTTGAGATAAGCAAAGCATAATAATGCTTTTAGCATTATTTCAGTCATGAAACCCAAAACATTTGATCTGGCAGTCCAAAAAGAATTGCTGACAATCCTGAAACAGCTGTAACTGCTTTCTCCTGCTAACAGGATCACCTTTGCCCTCCTTCCATTCCACTTTCAGGACCTTTAACCCCACACAGGCCCCCAGCAGTGTCTGCATCCCGGTGAGACTGGTCTTCAAGCGCTCAGCCACAGTCGCAGAGGAGAGCGGTTCCCCCGACTCCCTCAGCAAATCAAGGACACCCAGCTCACTTGAAGTAAATATGATCTGGAAAGACATGGACAAATGTACAAAAAGGAACGTTACTGCATCACTTTAAGTGTGAGTAGATTTCTGCTTTTTCTAGATCTTACTCAGAGCTGAACTTGCTCTCAAGACAATGATAGCTTTAGCCATGAAAGCCAGCTGTTTGGCCTTGGGTCAGTCACTTCCTCTCAACACAACTGACCCAGTGGTGGGATTCAATTTTTTTTACTACCAGTTCTGTGGGCGTGGCTTGGTGGGCATGGCAGGGGAAGGATACTGTAAAATCTCCAGTCAGAGGTGGCATTTGCCAGTTCTTTGAATTATTCAAAATTCTCGCTACCAGTTCTCCAGAACTGGTCAGAACCTGCTGAATACCATCTCTGAACTGACCTCACTGAGCTGTTGTGGGGAAAATACCAGAATGGAGGTCTGATGGATATCTTTGCTACATTGACTTATTTGTGTATAATAATAAATGTGGGATAAATAAATAACTATTGCTCTAGGACCAAGCATGATTATGTATGGCAACTATTCTTGCCCGCTGCATCTGTTGCTGATGAGCAAGAGAAGAAATGGGCTGTTCAGGAATCTGCTCTTTTGTGCAACCACATCCACACAGTCTGGAATGATTAAGTGCAGTGACACTCATGACAGATGGTAAGATTACTTCTCTCTTGAGAGCTTGAATTTGTTTAACTTACCAGTATTAATGGGAAAACAGCTGGAAGGAGCCAAAGAAAAATTTCAATTGTTGGGGATTATGGGATCATGTCTGCTGATGAGATAAATCAATAGGAAAGCAAAATAAAGGGAAGGGATTGTTTTATAATACTTCTGCAATCCAATTTTTGGAGCTCACTCAAAGAATGCAGCAAAACACCTTGTGTCATTTATACAACTTATATGTATGTTTTCATTATAGGAAAGTTTTCAGCATTCAGTGGTTTTCACTTCCATGAAGAAGACAAAGAAAGCTGGTTTGCAGTCGTGGTTAAGGCACCAGGCTAGAAAATAGGACAGCTGAGTTTCAGTCCTGCCTTAGGCCTGAAGCCAACTCAGTGATCTTGGGCCAATCATTCTCTCTCTGGTCAAGGAGGAAGGCAAAGGCAAATTATTTCTAAACATGTTGTCCAAAAAAATCCACCGACACATGTCCAGGGAGGTATAAAGAGGCATCCCACAAAAAGAAGGAAGTGAAAGAATTTTGTTTTGTAAGTTTTACTACTTAATATACTATTTGTAAGTATTACATGTCTTACCTTTGATATTACAAATGAATGTTGATGATGAAAAAACATTTTAATATTTTCAGCGTCTTCAGGTGAATTCATTGTGACCCCAGGAAGTTGTACAGTAGCCCTTTTCATATTAAATCAAATGTCTCCAGCTTACGAGGCCAGTTCTTGCCTTTCTCCTTCTCCCAGAGGCCTGGATTGCAATGATAAGTATAAGCAGACAAAAAGAGGAAAAAGAGCTAATAAAATTATTAGCCAGAAAGAAGTCTGGGTGGATACTGTAATAATTATTATCATCTTCAGATTATTATGTATTCTGTTTAAAAAAAGTAAAGCTATGAGTTGACTTGAACTATTTTGGACTCTGTGGACGTATATATTGTCTTTCTGAACATAGTATTGTGCAATTACCACTAAAAACAATATTTTGCAAGCATTTAGACAGCATTGTGTTTGCTCCCTATTTTTGCTCAATCTGCTTCAGCTTTTTCCTGACTAGAAACAATCAATCTGTTAGAGGAAAAGAAAGAACAGAGTGTCTACTTAATTCCTTTCCATTTACACTGCCTAGAATGTTTCATGTTCAAAGAACCTTCAAAATATATTTTATAAGCATAAATTACAAACTCCTCCACATGTACATCTGATCCTCTTTATATTAATATTTAGTTGTCCACCATAAGACTGTTAAGTGGGATGTCCACTCTCTCTCTCAGCCAAACTCACCTCAGAGGGTTTTTGGGTGGAAAATTGGAAGAGTAAGATATATGATATATATTCACCACCTTGGACTACTTATAATATAATTAAAAATCTAATAAATAAAGTAATAAAATCAAGGATGCCAGAGAAGCAATTTGCTACAATAACGGAGAATCTGGCAACCTAATCCTTCCACCATGTCCTTCATAAAACTCTGACAGTCACATATTTGTTTGTTCATATTGTTAGTTTTCTACTTCTTCTCCCCTCAAGACAGCAAAAATAGCCAGCTTTCCTTACAACAATACCATCAACCTGAGTCCTCTTCCTCAGGTCCTTTCCATTTGTTCCCATCCCAATCAGACACTGCCATTTTCTTCTATGGTCCAGGTCTCTTTTTACCTGTCTTTTGGATTCCAAAGAGGAATCACGAAAGTATCTTCTCTGGAGAAGTGCCTTTGTAGTTTCCACAAAGGTAGTAAGCTACAGATAAAATATGCAAATTCCTCACCACCAGAAGAGGCTGAGGTGATGGGGTACATTTTAAAATATTGTTAGGGTTGATTACCTGAAGTTTGAAGGCAGAACATCAAACTCATATATCTGAACCTTGCATGTCAAATATTCACCCAGAATATCTTCTTACCTGCAACCTTTTGGTCTTATCTTATCAACTACATTCTGACCTTGTAGCCTTTTAAGTGGGAAAAACAGCTAGATTTTCTGTTATCAGTACGTGGACTATACCCAGTTCTGCATCTCAACCCCAGGCTTGCAGATGAAGCTGTCAATCTACTAGCCAGTATCTCAAAACCTTTGTATCTAGATGAAGAGGAAGAGTCCAGTTTCATGCAAGCAAGCCTGAATCCCAGGGATGGGATCCGACCAGTTTATTGATTTTATGTTTTGCATAATACACCCAAAATGTAAAATCATACACCATGCGCGTGCATATCATTGTCAACTAGCTGCCTGGACAGCTGAGCAGTGCTGTGCGCGGGTGCATAGCGGTTGAAAAAGCACTTTTTTCCTGCTTTTTCAACTGCAGCTGTGTCGTGCAAAGCAGCTGCGGTTGAAAAAGCAGGAAATAAAGGTCAGGTAAGAGCCCAGGCGGGCAGGTGGCCCAAAAGAGCAGCAGACATAGAACCGGTTCTATGTATGCTCTCTGTCTGCTGCTCTTCATAGCAACCAGTTCTATAAAGATGGACAGAACTGGTAGCATCCCACCCCTGCTGAATCCCTTTGGTTGTTTGATTCCCCTGGATTTAGGATACCATAGAATCCCTTCTGGCTTTCAGGGACCTTGCCCAACAACTCCTGGTTGTGACAAACTGCTCCTTATATTGGGCTCTAGGGATCGATTGGGACTGTTGATGCTGTACCTATTCACCTCCTACACTGCAATCTCCTTACCTTTCTCCTTACTTGATCTCCTTGACTCCAGATTGGCAGTGGAATTCCTCAGACGTCCTTCTCTGGGAATGGAGTCTGAAGTGACTCAGGAGCTCAGGGCTTCCATAACAGCCATGAGTGTCAACCACATGGGTGTCAAACTCCTTTGCGAAGCTGGGGTGGGCATGGCCTGCACATGATGCATTCGGCCCACAGGCCGCCATTTTGACACCCCTGGCCTACCAGGTCATCCAGAGCCTGACTTCAATTTAGTATTCTGTCAGAGAACTGGCAATGCGATTTGAAATTGAGAGAGCTTATTCTGTCCCCTTGTCATGGTCGAATCATACCCTGATTTCCAAGGGATTCTTCAGCAACACAGGCAAACTGAATCCCATAATTGGTCTGCTCCAGCGACTTACTTGCTGAACAGTTTCAGAGGATGCTAGAGACTATCCCTGTTGGTCAGCATGGGCCATCCAAGGTTGTGCTTGTTACTTGGAACAACAAGGCTGCTGAGGCCTTGGATCAGATTGCATTCATCTCTCTCCTTTTCGTCACTCTCCGTGCTTTACAGAAGAGTTGAGAGATCAACTAGGAGAAGAGACATTTAGAATATTGCTGGTGTAGGCAACTCTACTAAACATAGGTGAAAACCACTAAAAAAGACTTGGTTGTGGTTATAAGGGTGGCAATACTTCTCCATCATTACTGTGTCTGCAGAATGCTATCTGACACTCCTATTCTGTGTGACAAGGACCTTCCTAGGTAGGGAGGACTTGGATAACTTCTTTCATGGGTATATTGAAGCATGTGTATGGCATGTGTGGGATTAAATTGCAGTGTTCTCAGCAGTCATATGCATTTCTCATTATTCCCATGAGTCATCATTACTATGCAAGCTGTCCTGGATGCTAGATGATTCCCAGGTGCAATTCAAGGTGCTGTTTCTGTGCTTATACTTTCCTGTGTAATCAGGAATGTTAATGGCTGCATGATGGCTTGGGTCTTAAAGGCATTCTTTTTTCTATAATTGCTGAATTCTTTTCATTTTTGTTATTATCATTTATCACAAGGGTCACACAATTACCTACCACTCTTGGTATCTTTTAGTGGATTAAAGTATCAAAATAAGATGGAATCATAGTGTGAAATATGGCTGCACTAAGAAATTAGGATCAAGTATCAAATTCAACAGCATCAGTTCCATCATCTATATATGGTTCCTTTGGGACTGATTTTCCCAAAGACTGGCAAACTCTGACTCTTATAAAAGAAGACCACTTCTTAAGTATGCAGGAGAAGCATTTTCATGCATTAATGGAAGGTGGCATTTCCAATTGTATGATTGAGTGTGTTGCCTTCTTCAAGATCACACAGCAACATATTTGCTGTTGGTTTGTTTGTTTTATTAGACTTCTATTAAGGTGACATATATGGCAGTCAGTTTGCTCCGTCGTAACCAATGAAAGGGGGAATTGTTCTTGCTCTCTCTGCCTAACCTTCTTTATCGTGTTTTTAAAAGCTTCCTTTGCTGAAGGCTTGAACCTACAGCACCTTGTAAGACATATAAGTACTTCTGTATCCTTACTGTATCTGCAGAATGCTACCCCACACTCCTATTTTGTGAGGCAAGAATCCCCTTAGGTAGGGAGGACTTGGAGAACTTCTTTCATGGGTATATCAAGGTATTTGTGTGGCCTCTGTTGGATTATGCTGCAGAGGTCTCAGCAGTCATGTGCATTTCTGATTATTCCGATGAGGCATCATTACTATGCAAGCTGTCCTGGCTGCTAGATGATTCCCAGGTACAATTCAACATGTTGTTTCTGTGCTTAAACATTCCTGTGTAATCAGGAATGTTAATGGCTACATGATGGCTTAGCTCTTAAAGGCATTTTTGTATAATTTCTGAATTCATTATTCATTATTGTTATTATCATCATTTATCTCAAGGGTTGAAAAATTACATATAACTCTTGGTAGCTTTCAATGAGTTAAAATATCAAAATAGATGGACTCCTAGCATGAAAATATGGCTGCCCTAAGAAATCAGGATTAAGTTTCAAATTCAGCAGCCTCAGTTCTACTATCTATATATTGGGACTTTGGAACTGATTTTCCTGAAGATCTTAAGGATACAGGAGAAGCATTTTCATGCATTAATGGAAGGTGGCATTTCTAATTCTATGATTGAGTGAGTTGCCTTCTTCAGGATTATACCACAACATACTTGCACTGCCATTTTCTTGGATGGTCACTGTCTCTTTTTACCTGTCTTTTGTATTCCAAAGAAGATTCCAAAAGTATCTTTTTTGGAGACAGTGCTTTTATATTTTCCAAAAACTTAGTAGGCTACAGATAAAATATGCAAATTCCATATCTCCAGAAGAGGCTAGGAGGATGTGGTGCATTTTCAAATATTGTTATGGCAAGAGGCCATATGTACAATGTACTCAATGTACTTTATCTGTTGATCTTTTGTTAGAGTTAAAAAGAGAAGGTCTTCCCAGAATTCATGGGAGATGTTTAAACAAGTTTCCCTTAAACATGTTGTTAAGTACGAAGCATGGGCGTAGAAACGGAGACGAAACTGCTTCACGTGAACTTCAGCTCTTTATTTAAAGCATGATAACAGAGACAAAAAAACCCCGGATAGCGGCCGCCCTTTTATAGAGTGAACTGCTATCCGGATGACCAATGGATGTTGTTATAGGGTTTGAACCTCGTCCAATGGGACTCGGCCCGCCAACAGCCAGTCAGATTGCTCGGAATTAACCAATCATAACTTGCCATTATATGGGCCAATAGGAAGTGCAGGATTACGATCCTGCTATGCAAATGCATCTTTATTAATTACATTTCTTTAGTTCACAACACCCCTCCCCCCTGGGTTCCGTTTGACGGCCGTGGTGACGTAATCTCGCAGGTATGCAGGTTGTTTTACCTGCCTAGTTGATTTCCGCTGTTCCACCGGTTTTTGTTTAAAGTTCGGTTCCGGT